TAATATATATTATATATGTATACATGTGTATGTGTGTGTATATATATAATATATATAACAATATATATAGACATATATATGTATATATATTCTGTAATGGCCACAAATGGATTTCTTGAGTTAGCTTGCAGGCCAGGTTTTATGAAGAGCAAAATAATCTAGATCTTTTGATGTGGATAAGGCCTTCTGGTTAACATTGTCCTGCCAGACCTCTGGGGCAGAGTCCTGGGAGGTAGTTTTAGCCTATTGGGCAGAACTCTTCCTCTCCCCTTCCCTGCCCAAGTGGGCAAGGCCAAGGTTGTGGGGTTACAGATAACTACAGTTAGGTTCTTAAATCCTTTAGTTCCTCCCCAGCCTGGGGGAAACCTCTGTTCCAGATAGGGACTGCTCCCCATCCTCAGTGGCCACATTCCTTGCCCCACCCTATTACTAGTTCTTTTTTCTCTCTGCCCTGCCTTTCTTTCTTTTCTTTCCTCTACCCTGAGTTCCTTTGACTCTTGCCTATTCCCCAAAATTTACCTGTGGCACTCAGGGTCAAATGGAATATTTATTTTCTAGCATGAATGTGTCTTAATTCATAATCTAGAAAGTTCAGCTATACCCATATCCCCGGCTCCCCCTAAGAACTCTGGTGCCTAAAACCTCCTCCTCAGCCTTCAGGGTTTTAACAGATGCTCCCACCCCTGTGAAGGTGACACACAAGGGTTCTTCGCAAATCCACCTCTCTTGGGTTATCCCATATGGGTAGATGGCAGTAGGTACTCCTACTACAAGATGCTTTTCCCAGGTCATCCTGGGCTGAGGTCCTAAGATTCAGCTGCCTGATCCTAGGGTTGAGCCTTTTGCTGTGGCAGCCAGAACCCAAGCTACTGCCCTCCTGGGGAGCAGCCCTGAGTGTGGAGGCTGAGCTGATAACTGGGTCCTAATCCTGCCTGTGCCTTTATTTCTTTGAGCATCTTGAATAGTGACTTGCTTTTTTTTTCCCCAGAAGTCTCTTTTTTTTTTTTAATGTATATAGTACAGGGTCTTATTACATAGATCAGACTCGAGCCTGTTTTCAGCCTCCCAAACCCTGGAATTACAGACACATGCCATCATGCCCAGTCTCAATTGCGGTGTCAGCATGCCTGAGCCAGCACAGCATATGCTGGGAATCAAAGCCCAGCCACTGCACTCTGCAGGCACTTTAGTCCACTGAGCTCTCTGGCCGGCCCCAGAAGTCTTTGTTTTGGTTAGAAATTATCTTCCTCTACAGAAATAAACAGGCCTATGCAGCAAGCCTATTCCTCTCTCAGTTCCCCACACCTTAATAATGATGTTGCTGAAATAGACTATACTGAGAGTTCATTTTGAGAAATGTAGAGACCTTTCTGTCCTTGTATTTGACTTTTCCAAAGTGCCTTAAAAGAAATGAAAAAAATGTGCTGAATAGTGGCTTCTTTTGTTACTTCCTTCCCACCCCATCCCCCTTTTTTTCTTTGTATTTAGTACAGGATCTACAAGGTCTCCCAAGCACTGGGATCATAGGTGTGCGCCACCATATCCAGTCTCAATCATTGTCTCAGCGCACCCCAGGGGCATGCTGGGGATCAAAGCCCGGTTGGCCATTGCACTCTGCCTAAGCAGGTGTTTTAGTCTGCTGAGCTATCTGGCTGGCCCTTTCCTTCACTCTTAAAATTCTGCATTTTCTTTTTTGTTTCTTTTTTCCAGTTACATTTTCACTCATATGAGTATGTAGTTCTTTCTGTGGTTCAGACCAAGGGAAATTGTGCTTCAGCTGTACCCCCTGTTTGCTGACTTTCCAGTACCCACAGGGAGTATCCCCAGCCCAAGGTACAACCAAGGACATTTGTCTAGCCCATGAAATGCTGTAGGTCTGATTTTATAACTGGAAATTCCAGGGATGAGAGGTCAGGGAGTCTGCTATGGAATTGTCATGTGCTATGCTTTTCTCTGTGTTTGTCTAATCCTGTTGCTGGTGACTCCATGTGAAGTGGCCTCTGGGAAAGATTGAGATTGGCACAGGAGGGTAAAGGAAATGCTTTACTGGCCTTTAGCCTGACCAGGGTCTCCACTAAGCACTGGCCTGGGTATGGGTTGCCTCACACAACCAGGAAACAATTTTTATTTCCTTGAGGCCTGTTCTGTGTATTTTTATTTCTCACATTTGCCAAATATGTATATTTACTGGGGCTGGAGAGCAATATCTGGTCTTGGTGTTCAGAGCAAACAATTGCATTTTTGCTTGTGAAATCAAATAATATAACATGAATAAACAATCCTATCTTTGCAAAAAAAGAAAAGAAAATTTTTCTTTTTGGCCACGTGAGGTGGCACATACCTATAATCTTAGCACTTGAGTCTGAGACAAGAGGATTGCCATGAGTTTGAGGCCACCCTTACCTATACAGCAAGTTCAAGGCCAGCCTGTAGTATACAGTGAGACCCTTGTCTTAAATACTTTGGGATAATTCAAAACACAATTTATTTGCAAAATGTATAATTCCTGCTCTATCTGATGAAGATGTGTATTATATAATTTATAGTTTTAAAACATAAACTGACTATTTTCATATGTGAAATCCTTAAATTCATTGACAGATTTTTTTCATTAGTTTTTTTTTACAATATTAATAATAATTGAACATCTGTTACTTAAAATACTTTGAACCAAAAGTGTTTCAGATTTCAGTGTTTTTCAGATTTTGGATATTTGCATAGATTTTATCATCTAAGTATCCCTAATCTGAAAATCTGAAATTCAAAATACTCCAAATGTGAACCTTTTTGAGTGTCACATTCAAAAAGTTCTAGATTTCAGATTTGGAATGCTAAATATCTACATAGAAAAGTAAGGGCTTGGGAGATAGTCA